ATATATATATATATATATATATATATATATATATATATATATAATTATTTCTCAGAATTCACCTGTATAACAAGACAATATGTATAAAGGAAAAACGACAATCTGAAAACTGTAGTTTTAGCTAACACATTTCATCCATCTAATGAGAACATTTTCAAGGCAAAAACAAAATCAGTCATAACATAAATAACAATTCAACAAATGTACTAATCATACATAGAAATAAATTCAACCACAATTTTGATTTTATAAATGCTACACTCATAAAAAAAGAAAATAATTCACCCAGAAGGAAAATCCTCGAGAGTACTGCCATTGAATATTATCCAAATATTAATCTGTGCCCAGGTTTTTTCCCAATATCACCTTTCCTAACAGAATCACTACACTCTCAAGCCAACGTACACAACAAATATATCAAGAAACCCAAAGAAAACATTTGAATCTGTCAACACAACAATAAAAACTATATTTCTACATGTGAAAATATTCTCTTCAAACATAAAGTAATTAACATAATTTTTCAGTTGACCATATGAATATACAACAATGTTTCTAAATTCTTCTAGTTGCTATGTTTATGGACACTTTGTTTCAATAAATTCATTTTGTTTTTTTTTTGCCTTGAAAAATACCACATTGGACAAAATGCGTCAGCTTAACAGTTTTTCTATTGTCTTTTTCCCTTTATACACACATATGCACACACACACACACACACATATATATATATATATATATATATATATATATATATATATATATATATTTTGTCTTCTATCTCAAACATTTAGGCCTGTAGACAATGATAAATAGATATATGGTTTAATTAATAAATGGAATATTCACTCAAATACAAGTATTCACTAAAAATAACATTTCAATAGATAATATATATATATATGTATTATCTATTGAAATGTTATTTTTTTGTCCTAAGGGTCCAGGCAAATCTAGGTAGGTTTGCCTGGCTCCTTAGGATTATTCTAGTCTCTCTCTGTCTGTCTGTCTCTCTCTCTCTCTCTCTCTGTCTCTCTCTCTCTCTCTCTCTCTCTCTCTCTCTATATATATATATATATATATATATATATATATATATATGTGTGTGTGTGTATATATATATATATATATATATACACACACACACATATCTATATATTTGGTAAAATGTGTGAAAGTGGAAAAACTTTACTCGTGATGCATTTTTAGGAATTTTAGAGCTTTTTTTTTTTATATCTAGCCAATTTCCTTTTAGAGGCTTTTTCTTTTTCTTTCCATCACTACAACATAAATTTCTAGAGAGTACCTTGATCGCAATGTCATCTACAGTAAATTTAGGCCCTGCAACTTGCAATATTTCTCTATTCTTGGCAGATTTTCTAATATCACAGTGTAGGATACTGACTTACAAAAGTGATAGAAAGAAAAAGAAAAAGACTTGAAATGAAATAGGCTAGATATAATAAAAAATTCTAAAATTCCCAGCATCTCTCTGTCGTGTGCATGTGTAATCCTACTGACATAATAAATTCAGTCCAATGAACTCTTGATGGATGAAATATATCACAAGTAAAATTTTTCCACTTTGTCATACATTTTCCCCAATTGTTCTTATACAGGAATACATATTGTTATCTCATATATATATATATATATATATATATATAATTAAATTCCAATAAATGCTACTATAAAGTAATCATGAATCCCTGTTGTGTATGTTGATTGCTGCTTCAGATATAATCACATTTAGATTAATTCAATTATTGAAGTTTGAAAAGCATGAGTTACAGAACATTGTTGGTTTTCCAGATTTTTTGATATATAATTCATAAACTGAAATGAATTAAAATTACCATTTTAAAAGAATAATAGGGAAAAATTTACTAGATGACATTTCAAAATGTGGGGAGGAATTGAGTAAAAATGTGATCACCAAGGGAGAAATATGAGCTGGGTTTTTAAGAACCACTGTATAAGATAAGTGTTCAAAAATATCAATAGACAAGTTAATGTTCTAGAAGAAATACAGAAATTATCTTGCAAGTCAAAATTAATGTAAATATTTTTAATTAAAATGGTTATAAAATCACTATTGACTATTGGGATCTGGCCAGATCTGGGTTACTGCAAATGCCAGAAACCAGAAAATGACAGTTTATCGATTTTTTAACAATTTTTCTAATAGTGAAGAAAATAGAATATATTATCTAATATAATTTACATAATTTAATTATATTATAATAAATAAAAATTATTTGTGAATATTTTTGCTTTTTAATTGGTTATATTAAAAATAATTTCTGAGATTTGGAAATATAACAATTACATGTTTATTTTCATGCTAAAAATAAAAAAAAATAACATTTTCTTAATTTAAAGTTTCTTTAAATCAGTTTCAAAATGTTTTGGACTAAACAGGACACCCCCATTAACACAAATGAAGTAGACAAGACACTTAAAATAAAGAGCTTAAAGTAAATTAATAGAAATCCGTCACAGTCAAGAAGTTTGCTGCCAGGCTTGTGACTGCCTTGTCGAACTCTCTGTGTGCAGAGAGAAAAATCTGGATGATATTTGGGGTGGTAGACAAACCCAGCCCTATGTATGCGGTGTCTACGGGGGAATTTTGGGATTTGCCCCGCATAAAAATTGGCCTTGTGCCACATCCTGCCTTGTGGGGAGGTTGGTAAATACCAGTCTGTTGGAATCTGAGTTGCGACTGTCAAGCTCACTGTTTTCAGGTAGAGGGTGACTCAGGGCTCTGTCTATGGATGGAGACTCAACTGAAAAGAGACTATGCAACATACTCAATCCTGCGGTTGTGGGGACTGGGTAAATTCTGATCATTGGCCCAAGTGTACACACTCAGGTCCCCACAGCAAACTTGACCTTGTGTCACATCTTGGCTCAGTGGGGAGACTGGGTAAATGCTAGTTCAATGGAATCAGTCAGAGAGAATTCTAATGACATCATTATAAGTAGCTTAAGCAAGATATAATATTATAACTTCTAGGAGTGAGTTATAACACAAACCATAGTTCAATTTTTATACATTCATTTTAACAAGTTGCTTTATAAATGACTAAATTACACCTCAAGTTACAGTTTGAAACAAAATCAAAAACTCTAATGGCAGATCCACAAACTGACACTGATAAATTGAAAATGTGCCTAACCCTAAAACTTAGATAAAGGATTAAATTACAGTTTGTCATACAGACAATGTACATAATTATGTTTTAACAAATTTCTTTTTTCTGTCCTAAGTTTCCGGAAAAATAATATCTCAAGAATTTTCCTGTTTTCGGTAGGAACTGTAATTTCTGATAGCTTTTGTTAAATTAATCACAATTAATTTGTGTATTTGTCTTAATTCAAGTTACAAATTTTAAACATATTAAAAATCCTGAAATTGGATTCTTTACTGGGAATGGAAAAAAAAAAAAAAAAAAAACTTTCTGCCAATAATTCTCATAGTTTTTTTCTTTTTATATATATTTTCTTGACATACTGTCCCAAGTAGAAAGTTTTACATAAAGGAAAAGGAAAAAAAACATGTAAGAAGAAAAAGAAGCAAAAAAAAAAACAAAATAAATATTGCAAAAGAACAAACAAGAATGCATTAATAAAACTAATGACAAATATTGGAAGTTCAAGAAAAATTCTATGATTTTTCAAATGTTCTTTGAGGGAAAAAAGTGCACATTTAAACAACAAAATTGTCTTGTAGCCAGTAGAGAGTATTAGAAGCAAATCTTTGCAGGTGCAGAGTATGAAAAAAACTAACTACATTGTTGACAAACAGTGACAGATTTAAACTTGGTGAAACTCTCATCACACTTTAATTAATTACCTTGAATCATATACGAGGGTGGCTAAAAAATAAATGCAATTTGTTTTATTATATAACAAATAATAAATATAGATCAAGATACAGCTATACATCACAGGTCCACATCCCTAATTCTCAACACAGTCACCACCTCTTTCAATGGCAGTGCTCCACCTACGAATGAAGGCATGCATCCAAGCTTTGTAAAAATCAGCTGGCTGCTGATGTAACCAATTCCTTACAGCAGTTTTCACTTCTTCATCCCTACCTGATTTAGCACTGTCAGACTTTCATTACTTTGGTTCAATGAAAGAAGCACTGAGGAGAAAATATGATAATGATGAAAAAGTGAAAATTGCTATATCAGCAGCTAGATGGGTTTTCTGAATCTGGGATGCATGTCCTCATTCATAAGTAGAACTGCCATTGAAAGAGGTGGTAACTATGTTGAGAATTAGGGAAGTGAACCTGTGATGTATAGCTGTATCTTGATGTGCAATATGTTTGATTTTGTTCCTTATTTCTTATATAATTGTTATGGTAATTTATCCATGCATGCATGGACTCTCCTAGCTATAAATAGGAGCAGGTACTGCCTTTTGGAAAAGGATGTTTCCAGCAATCAGCTCTGACAGTCGGACTGAACATTCTTGCTGTAACACTCTTGTTTGTATATGTTTGTATTACTGTTCCTGTTAATATATTTGTTTAACTCAATTCCTCTCTTTGTGTCTTTATTTCTGGCCCTAACAAGGCCACAACAATAATAAAACAAATTGCATTCATTTTTGACTCTCCCTTAGATTTGGTTTGGGTTTATTACCCAAGTATTTTAGCTTAAGTAACATGTTACAAAAAAATTTTTGTTTTTGAAAAGGTATATTACCAATGAAAACACACTTGAGTTACCTTGTTACAAGATTAAGCTAGATACATTAAAATCCTCCACCACCACACCTCCCGCAAAAATAACTAAAATTCTGAATTTTTTTTAGGCTTCTGTGTGTTGTGAGTCTCCTAGGCTGTATCTTGTTTTTCTTATGTCTAAATCTGGCACTGATGACAAAGTTCAACTCGAGCTAATGGGCAGACAAAAGACAGACAGTATGCATCAAGGCAAGTGATCAGGTTATTATATGGAGAGAAAGAAAATCATTCGCCTCACCATCTCTGCTAACATTTTCTGCTTGATCTTGTGTTTCATGTCCATTTACATACTGAAAGAAAGAAGAAAAAAGAATTGTATTAAAGTGAATTAAGAATATAACAAGAGCAGATGTAAGAAAACTATATACTGAATCAATTGCTAAGTTTACTGCTTGGAAAGTCAGCTCACCAATTTTTCTCACCAGACTCTGTCTTGCACATTCATAAGTCGACCATTCACCTGCACATAATAGTAAGTCTAATTGGTTCAATTAGGTCAAATTGGTAGTTGATCTCAAAAATCCAATCATTTATTAGCTGGGGCAAGAAATGGCTTGTTAATTTTAATGTGTCTCTTTTAATCTTTTGAGAAAAACTTTTTTACCTCACCCAACTATCATGCACATTTACACAAGTTTTCTGTACATCAAATATCATAAAAACTATTGATTTTTACATAATTTGTTTTTCAACAAAATCTCTTTTCTTGTCAAGGCACTTAATTCTTTTATAAATAATCACATAGATTGTTCTTCTTTTATATGCTGTGTCCTTCGAAGGTAATCATAACCTTCCACAATTTCCTCTCCTTTGTAGCTCTTAATAAATTTTGTCTCTTAAGGACGTTGGCGACCATGGCTCTCCACAATTTCCTATCCTTTGTAGCTCTTAATAAATTTTGTCTTTTTGTTATTTCTCTTAAACCCTGTTCTGCTATCCATTTACTCAAGCTCATTCATTGTCTTCTATGTGCCATGTCTTTTCAGGACGTTGGCGATCATGGCTCTCCACAATTTCCTCTCCTTTGTAGCTCTTAATAAATTTTGTCTTTTTGTTATTTCTCCTAAACCCTGTTCTGCTATCCATTTACTCAAGCTCATTCTTAATCTTCTATGTGCCATGTCTCGTCAGGATGTTGGCGATCATGACTCTCCACAATTTCCTCTCCTTTGTAGCTCTTAAGTTTTCTCTTTTTGTTATTTCTCCCAAACCCTGTTCTGCCATTCATTTGTTCAAGCCCATTAAGTATGATACATGTTGATTTCCCTTGTCTCTCTTCTCTCTATCCATCCTGTGAGTATCAGATTTTCCAAGCCCTTCTTCCCCATTATATGCCCCAGATATTTCAATTGCTTCTTCCAGAAGTTAAGTATAAGTTTCCTCTTTGTTTCCATTTTCTCCAAAACCTCATTGTTGGTCACATGTTTGGCCCTTGGTATACTTAGCATATGTTGAACCACATTTCTGTTTCTTTGTCTCTTCTTCATCTTTGAGGAGATTGTTCAGCATCCACTGTCATATGGGAGGACAGACAGGGGAAATTTCAGCTCAAATTTCAGCTAAGAAATAAATCTCAGGTCATGAACTTTTTGATCCACTGTCAAACTATTTCCTTAATTTTCAATGTATATATTTACTCTCTCACCCTCTACCCCAATTTAAAAATAAATCTTTGGTGTTTACTAAAAATAACCTTGTACAAAGCCACATCTGTGGTATCCCCCAGTGAAGATCAAACTCCTTACACTCACAAATTGGTTTGAAAGAAAAGCTCAGTAACAACTGCACCATAGCTGGTCCCTAAACTTAGAAACTATATTTTATAAGTTAATGGTGAATCTTGATCACTACATGATAGAGCAATGGTTAACAAGCCAGTCTCATAGCCTGATGACTTTAGTCTTTAATGTTGGTCACACTCTTACAGTATTGTATAAAACTAAGCTTAAACAATTTCAATAATAATAATAATAATCAATATACATTCATTTATATATTTTCTGTCTCATCTGTTGTGGGAAGGGAGGTAAATCAACTTAAGTGAGTAAATTTATGAATGATTACTTCCCTTAGTCATTTTAATAATCTATATAAATAAAATATTTATCTGCATTTGGACAAAATTACTTCCCATGCAAAGTGAAGCGTTTAATTAATCAGTTCCATTACTTCTACATTTATTATTTTTGTTCAAACCTTTCATGTGAAGCACACAGATATCATTGTCTATTAAGGGATCATTTTGCTTCAATTTTGGACTTGAAATAGCCTTTGTTGTTGTTGTCTTTGTCATTCTCTTGCTAATGTTCCAAGATATATTTCCATTTTACTGTAATATTAAGCATATAAAATATTTAACATGTAAGATGCCGAGCAAAAAGAGATTTATATAATAACAGGAGTAATCATTGAATCATAAATACCACTGAATGTCTAAAAATATAAAATATATTAATTAATTGGCCTCTATTTTTTTTATTTTTTTTATTTCCACTTATTGAATTGTTCCAAGACTTTTGTTTCATTCCATCTCACTATTAAAACTTTCTAACAATTGCCATAAAATTGATGGCATGTGTACACTAGTAATAATAATAATAATAATAATTGCTGGGATTTTTCCAGTGCAAGTTCTACTATTTAGCCCATAGCTGGTGAAGAGAATGGATTCCTACCTTTCTTAAAAGTATTTCTGCATATGTGACTGCCATAAACACGACTAAGTATGTGAAGAAAACTTTTGACATATTAGCTTAATACACCCTACTTGTAATGAGACTGGTTACATACAAAGCAAGTAAATAATTTTTAATATTGTGACAAGAAAAACAATGACAAGAAGAATAGTCCTCATAAAAATAATATAAATAAGAGATACTCTGCACCCTTTTCTTTATGTACTGCTTTATACGACACCACCTAGTGATCATTAGTTGAAGTTCCTTGGCTGACAAGTGGGGTAATCCTACAATGCTAAACAATTTAATAAAGAGTGGAAAGTTCTTTCACAATGAGAATAAAAGAATGTATGGTCAGTGTATACTTTTTGCATCAGAAAAATTTAGTCACAGAAATGAGCCTGCTATGAATGTTTTGAAAAAATATATGATTCAGTTGTGTGTTAGTAGAAAAAGATTGAAGCGAAAAGATACAAAAATGTTAATAATTTATCTCACGCAACTTTGTTAGAAACCAACCAGCAATTGATTTATTGTAATTGGTCTTGGCTATTTATGGAAGTTGATGGCTTAAACAAAGTCTAATTTTTTCAAAGAATAATTTGCCAATTAGAACTCTAACTAGATGAAAAATATTGATGCAATATATGATGCACTTATCGAATAAAATATGGATGATAAAACTGTTTTCATTCACTCACTGAACATTTTCGCTCAATAACACAAATTGCTACCAAACCAAAATGCTAACCTGAAAATTCAAGTCAAGTTCTTAAATATCCTTGTCAGATCAAGATTTTCATGTAGATATCATGCATGGCACCAAAACTGTTCAGAAATATCTAAACTGTCAGATGTATACAACTGCCTCCTAAGATCAATGGTGAAAAACAGTTTTTGAGGAAGTGAAGCCTGAGGGTCCTTGCAACGATCATCATTCTTTGAACATGTGGACTGTCGACATAGATTCACAAACAAAGAACTATACCAAACAACAGAAACAATATCACTTGAGGACTACCAACAGCAGCAACAACTAAAATGGATAACACATGTAAATTGAAAACAAAATAATGAAATAATGTTCATTTTCTGCACACCTTCAGACCAAATGTTAGGCAGGAAACCCCCATCAATACTGGAAAGAACGATAACAGCTGCTGAACTTGAGAAACCTGTTGAGAAAGTTGTGTTAAGGGAGAGGTTTTACAAATTTAATCTGAAAGTAGCACTGGTTGATTGATCAATAAATGTCAAATGTTTCCTTGTAGGGAAACGACTAATATTACCATTACCAATAGAGCTGAAAAGAACAGATACTACACATTGATCCCAGCCCAATCACCAGGAAGTGAAAGAAAGAGTAACTCAAGTAGCATTGGCTGCTTGGTCAATGAATTCCAAATGTCTTCTTATAAGGAAACACATAATATAACCAGTACTAATAAAGATTAGGAGAACAGATACTACACTTAGATCCCAGCCTGATTACCATTCAATGAAAAAAGCATAACTCAAGCAACACTGCTGCTTGGTCCTTTTTTTCTAAGGATATGGTCAACTGCCATTACTATCAGTATAAAAATGAAAGAAATAATGAAAATGTAAAGGATTTTGCAATAATTCCAGGTTTTTTTTTATCATTGGAGTTAAAATAACTGAATTTACTGAAGGAAAGTTAAAATCACTTTTATCAATTCTGAAATTCTTTATCAAGTCAAACATGGATTCTTATCAAATAAACCAGCATCCACTCTTCCATAAAAGATAGATTGATTGTAAAACCTTGTTAATTGATTAAATTGTCCTGTTCCTGCACTAAATTCCTCAAGCTACTTGAAGATGGCAGAGATAACAAGAAACAAAGAAATGTATCAGAATTCTTTGTCTGCAAATTTGAGAATTCAAACCTTTCCATTTTTTTTTTTTTTGTTGTCTGCTGCTTCAAGCAAAAGAGAATTTTTTTTAATTATTTTTTCTTGTCTGGTTTCCATTAGGGAAATCTTCTTAAGTTTCTAGAAAGTTTTAAAAAGTTGTTCCGATCGTCCAGAATTCCAATGAAATTGGTTACCAATAATTCCTTATTGACGAAATATTGACAGTTTGATGATGAAAATCTTTATTAATGATCAGTCAGCCTCCATAGACTTCAAACAATCCTGTTATGTTTACTTTCAAAATCATCTCAGTTGTTTTATGGAGTCAGTAGTTTAATTTGTGCACATTTTTTACATCAAAATGTATCCAAAATCATTTGTAGAAAATATCTACTACTTTATAAGTAAAAGCATCTATTATAGGAAATCATATATATATATATATATATATATATATATATATATATATAACCATTTTACCTCAAACAAGGCAATAATGACACTAGGGTGCAGGGGATTACAGGGAGTAAAAGAGAATGAGAAGAATTTAGTCGGATAAATTGAGGAAACAGACAATAAAGAAACAGGATTCAGGAAGACACAATATGGTGATTGTCACTGCATTTAAATTTTTGGCATGGAAGCAAAATATTGGAAGAGAGTTCCATAGATGAGAAGTGTGTTAAAAGAAACTATTAAATGGTTGCATCTAGCTAGTTCAAGAGTAAAATGGTA